CTGCGAAATTGGCTCCGCTGCAGGACCCAGAGGGTGGTGGTTGACGGAAGTCAATCGTCATGGTACCCTGTGACCGGGGGGGTCCCTCAGGGCTCTGTCCTAGGGCCTTTACTTTTTAACATCTTCATCAATGATGTAGACATTGGTGTCAGAAGCGGGCTGGCCAAGTTTGCCGACAACACCAAACTCTAGGGTAAAGCATCCACACCTGAGGACAGGAGGGTGATCCAGGCAGATCTTGACAGGCTCATGAAATGGGCGGACGAGAACCTGATGGTGTTTAACACTGAAAAATGCAAGGTTCTCCACCTTGAGAGGAAAAACCTGCAGCATCCTTATAGGCTCGGAAGTGCTACGCTGGTTAACACTACAGATGAAAGGGACAAGATGAACATGAACCTTCAGTGTGATGCTGCAACTAGTAAAGTGAGAAAAACGCTGGCTTGCATCCATAGATGCTTCTCAAGCAAATCCCGGGACGTCATTCTCCCGTTGTACTCAGCCTTGGTGAGGCCACAGCTGGAGTACTGCGTGCAGTTTTGGGCTCCACATTTCAAAGAGATGTGGAGAAGCTTGAGAGAGTGCAGAAGAGAGCCATGAGTATGATCAGAGGTCAGGAAAACAGACCTTATGATGAAAGGCTGAGAGCCATGGGACTCTTCAGCCTGGAAAAATGCAGGCTCAGGGGCAATCTGGTGGCCACCTATAAGTTTATTAGGGGTGTTCACCAAGATCTGGGGGAACATCTGTTCACCAGATCACCCCAAGGGATGACAAGACTGAATGGTCAAACTTGCTGGGATCCTATGATCCCTGCTGACTTCTTGCCCCTGGGCAGGGGGCTGGACTCAATGATCCTCCGGGGTCCCTTCCAGCCTGAATGTCTATGAAATCTATGAAATCTGTGAAATCCCCTGCCTGTGCAACAGCAGCAGGAGGCAGCGACACAGGGTTGTGTCCCTCACTGCTGCCATACAGGCAGGGGGCACTTCACCAGGACAGCACAGAGCTCGCACCAGCAAGCAGCTTCCCCATATGGCCCTGCTCTGCCCTGCAGTACTAGATGGGCTGAGGAGGCCCAAGGGGAGGGCAAAAGGGTGGGGAGCCTGAGCCAGCAGCAGGCAGCCCATGCCTGCCCCACACAGATCTAGGGAGCACAGGTCCTTCCTGCCCCCCAGGGAGTACATGCAGTGGCAAGGAGTCAGCCCCACCCCACTCCCTCTGGACAAGCTGCCTACGGCCCCGTGCTACTCCCCACATTCCAGCCAGCCGCAGGCCTCAAGCCCCACGCACCACCCAGCTGCTCAGCATCCCCAATCCCAACCCCAACCCTGCTCAACTCCAACTCCCTCAATCCTCCCCGTACCAGTCACCAGCGGGAGGCTGCCCTCCAGACTGTATGGCAGCCATGTGCATATACATGTACATGGCGTCTGAATGCCCTCCTCCCAATCCCTTGCAGGCTGGAACTCTTTGCAAAACTGCAAAACCTGAAGGTTTGTCCATTAAGATGAGAAACCTGCATTTTCCTTGGGTAAAGGGGGAAGTCTTTTTTTAATTGATTCTGAGGCTTTGGATTAGATTAGGACCTTTTAATGGGTCTCCCGATTTGATTTGGATTCAGAGATTCGGTTGCTGAATTGGGCTGAATCAAATCGAATACCAAAGCTTTGCACAGCCCTAATGCCCATTGTCTGCAAATAGGCAAATACAAAATTTCATTCAAAAAGTAGAAGAGAAAAAACTGTCAAAATGTGACACGCCTCATGTATTTATGAAATTTATGAAAAGGTCATAGAAATTTATGAAAGGTCATATAAATAAGTCTATACCACATTAGTATTACAAGAAGTCACCACTTAATTAAATCAATCAATCTGCATTTTTCTCTTTTCCTTTTTTTTCTGCTCTTCCAGAAACTGATATAAACCTTGTGGTAACTAGAAAAAGCTGACTACCTAACTGACACCATCAGCAGTACTTGTTTCTGTAACACTGACCTGATAACACAATTCCCATGTCCAATAAAAGCTGCCATACACCAACTGCTGTAGATCTGCACTTCACAAAAGGACAGTGCTGCAAGAGCCAGTCTACCAGTTGTGATCCAACACAGCTTCTCCTAAACACAAGCAAATCATGTATTTTGAATATTTGTATTTTATACCTTTAATGATGGCTAATAATAACCATGCAATGACCTCTTCTGTTTCCTAGAGAAAACCCTACATATTACAACAATTTTTTGGTTTATTCCAGTCACCTGTAAGAGGAAAGCCATTGCTGGAACTCTTATTTGGAATGACTCAGGCATTACAAGCAGAAATCCCTGGGCATTAGATGTTCATCATCCCCCAAGATAAATGAATTAATTTACATACCTTGTTAATACTTACTGCATAACACTGCAATACATTTTACTATATACATTTTTTTTGTATATATAAATTGAGATTAAAAGTAAGAACAGCTTGTAGGAATGTTAAGAGCTGAAGGCAATCTGAATCCTACAGCCTCATGATTAAAATTCTAAGTACAGACTTAAACAGTACAGCTGTGCATTATATAAGCACAATGAAGACCTGGGCAGTTTGAGTCTTTTACTAGTAATGCAGTGAAGCAATGCACATTCTAGTATAATTAATCTCTCATTACAATTCAACCAAAGTAGAACTTGCACATTGTTTTTAAACACAGTTACACATATGAATGAATAAATAGCATTAAAATAAACCTGCGTACTTGAATTACTCAAAACAGAAAGAAACATGCACGTTAGCAAGATGTGAGTGGATAACTTTAGTTTCACTGTAAAGACAGTCTGCAAATAACAGAATCATTGTCTAAATAAAAATAGGGCCAATTATCCTCCCATATAAGTACAATGTCTTTATTGGAGTTCTAGCACAACTGTCAATTAAAAAAACCTCATCCTACACTGCCTCTCTCAGACAAATGAGAGAATACTACGAGTTGAGTATACTCAGATGTCTGAGCTGTTTCAAACATGCCTTTTTAGCAGACATTTTAGATAAAGAATGCATAAAGAATAAACCCTACATCTCTCAAGTTAGGGCACAACACAATACAAACAGAGAATAATCAGAGCTGATTAAAGATAATGAACTAGTGTTACCTGCAAATTCCTGTAAGGTATACTCTGTCCTTTATCAGGTCAGAAGCTTGAACTGTAAAAATATTCCTGAGAGCTCTCCCAGCACAAGAAGAACTCTCTCCATAAATCTAAATCAACAGAGAAATAGGATACACAATAAGTAAGCAAGCATCCAAAAAAGGAAACTCACAAAAGCTACCTAATTAACCTAGTGTTAAAAGCACAGTTTAAAGTTGTGTGAAGGGAGTCAGCATTGGGTGCTTACACCGATATGGTTAAATAAATTTAGTTTCACCAGTAACAATTTTCTAACATATACAAGCCCTGCATTTTACAACTGGATATAAAATGTAGGCTACATTCAGAAATGAGTCAAAAGCCATGATTAAAAGGAAAAAATAAAGCAAAAAATATATTCCTACTACTATATCTTTTAGCATATGGAATTAAAAGAGATATAAAACAATACCTTGCTTGAAGGGTTTTCCAGATATGGATTTGAAATTCTTCTGGATAAAGTCTGTAACAGAGAGATTGGCACAGCTAGTTTTATTTCTAACACAAAGAAGACCATTTCCCTGTAAACATATACTTATATCATTATATTGTGTAGCCTCATTCATGCCCCTACTGCAAAAAATTCTTTCCTAGTCTGATCATTGTTTAATGCATTTGTTAATAACCTGAAAGGGGAGAGATACATGACAGGTAAACAGGGAGGTGGTAAAAACAGCAGATGACAGTGTCATTTATGCTAGTTAGAACCAGAGAGGACTGTAAGAATTTCAGGAGAAACACATGATAGATGAAAGAATAACACAATAGCAAGTTCAAAGTCACTCAATGTAAAGCAACGCATAATAGAGGAATATTTTAAATTACTTGTACACCTGGTAAGGATCTAAGCTACAGAAACTCACTAAAAAGGACCTAGGTATCACTGTAGACAGTTCAATGAAAGTTGCTCTGCAAGGATCAGATGCAGTCAAAAGAAACAAGACAGAGTGAATTATGAATGCTATGGTGAATAACAAGCAGATAATACCTGCACATAAATCAAAAGTGTGGCCTCATCTGGAACACCATGTGCTCTACTGGGCACTGCATCTCAAAAAGGATATTACAAAAGTCAGGATGCAGAGATCAGCGTTCAGAAAAGAGGGGCAAAACCTTGCAGGGGCCCTGACATATGTGACCTCCTGGGAACTGGAAGTGGGAAGCTGCCATACAAGGCACACCCTGTGCAGGAGATCATCCTGCTGCAGGTGGTATACCTCACACAGTACAAAACAATTTTGACAACATGGTTAGGTGGCACCAAGGAAAAGGCTGTCCAGGGCAGGTGCCCTTCCTATATCCACACTCCTGGGTTCATAGCAGGTTAATAAAGGACCTAAAAAAAAAAAAAAACCTCTCACATGAAAATTGATCAGACTTGAGAGACTAGATGAAAATAGCAGTGTTCAGATAAACGTATATATACTACCAAATGGTATAGAGAGGTTACACTGAAAAATTGTTTCTAACCTGCCTTCCAGCTGACTTCAGACTAACAGGGCTAACTGCTTCTCTCAGGAAGCAGATATTAAAGAAGCTGAAATTCATAAAGCAAAAAAGGAAATATTTCTTCAAGCAATACATAGTGGAGGTAGTCCCAGAAGTTGTAAAGGCTAATAATTTAGCATTTGGAAGTGCATATGGAAATCAAGAATATTCATAACTGTAAATTAACAGAAATAAACAAAACTATTGGAAAGGCTACTGAACCTCTAACATCAGGGCTTACCCTAATCTCTTATAGTCAAAAATTGGGTAAAGATTCAATGGAGAGGTGGAACAGGTTATTCAACATCCGACTACTGTAGTGTTTCTACGCATCCCACTGAAAGATCTGGGTCTAAACAGTGCTAAACAAAACACAGAACTAGATTATCTGCTGGTTTGGTACAATGTGGCAGTTCTCATGCTCCTATCGACCTAAAAGAGATCCAAGTCTAGAATAGAAGTTTTGCAAGTCAAGATTATATGCACCAATAGATCAATATGAAGATTGCGTTCTGCTTGCTTACATTATTCCAATTTATTTAAAACAAAAAAACTTATTCTCGAACCTTCTAATTTGAGAAGGGCCTACTTAGTACACAGAAAACTGCAATGACGAAGTTTCTCTTGCGTGGAAAGAGTAGAATTATTAAAATCATATTTTAAAAACACCTACTTTTTCTATATTTATAAAAACTGTAGAAAACAAACAAAAAAAAATCAACAAACAGTGGATAACAGTGTTTACATTTCCAGTGTCCATTATAAATGTTATTGTGGCTTCAAACCTCACGTGTGATGGAAAGTAGTTTAATGTGAAAACAAATAGAATGAAGTTCAATCTACTTCCCTTCGCCCATACCCGAAAATACAACATTAGATCACCACACTGCCTTTCATATCATTTACTCTTACTAGTACGCCTGTCATTAATGCTTGATTTCCACAGCTGCATATGTGCTATGCTTAATTTAACTTGTTTTCAAATCTTTCATTGTATGTTTATCACTTCAGTATCTACAAATCTCATTTTCTACAGCTACACAATCTTGGTTTATAAACTGCTCCTTCAGTGAGATTCCCAGGCTAGTAATGAAAAATAATTCTATTGTCAGTGAGCTAGTTCCAGCATTCTAGGGAAAATCCAGACCATGACAAGGAGAATAATATTGCTATTGTGATTGCAGAAGTGGGGGCAAAATGAGGAAAAGGATCTTTTTACCTTTTGGTTAAAAAAACAAAAAACAAACAAACAAACAAAAAAAAACTAACAGTGGGAGCCACTAAAAAGTTACAAAATCACTATATGCCCTAGGGCCTAGATGTCTGGATGCAGCCCACAGTCCCCCCCGTCCTCTCCCTCCCTCCCCCGGAGCCACTGCCACCATTTTAGGATTGGAACCCAACCTTAACCTTTCTTTGAACACTTGTCTGGTCCAATTATTACATGAGGCTGTGTAATACTTTGTTACAAAAGCATTCTTACAAATTTCTAGAAGGCTGTATACATTCCATAGCTTGAAAAAGTCCCTGAAAATAGGCAATGCATCTGGCAAAACAGAACAAAATTTCCATCAGTTTAGTTAAAAATTACCACTCCCAATTTGTAGCGTCTGCTGCATACTTTAACTCTGACAACCAGCTCAAACCCTTGAACATCCTTTAAAGCAGTAGTTCTCAACCTTTTTAGACTCAAGGAAAATACCAGCTCTTAGCTTTCAATCATTTTCATACTACTGTACAGAAAAATAAAAAAATTACAATTATTTCGTTTCACACAACTCAAAAAGACCACAACAGATTTTTAATATTATGTTTTTGACATTATGGATGCCTGCTTGAAATCTCAGGGTTTAATCTTGTGAATCATACATAGGTGTTTGCACATCTAGGATTGTACAGCACCCTGTGACACCCTGGTTGAGAATCACTGCTCTACAGTCTTGTGTTTATATTAAATTCTGCACTAGGAAGCCACTTAAGCAGGGACCCAGGCCAGAGAAGCTGATGTAGCTGTACTAGAATAGATAGGTATGGGCTGAGGCAGGCTCAGACAAGCATCATCTCTAAAACCTCACCCTCAAATTTCTTGGGCTCAACACAGAGAGCTGAACAAGGAGTCTCCAAAATTAAAAGCATGTATATAAAAAAAATGCCATTCCACCTCCCTATTCCCCGCCCCCCACATGCTTCCTTCCCATTTATTTCTTCTTCTCACTCTTGCTTTTTTTCTTTCTTTTTAAAGAGATTCTGGTTTAGCTAGTCAAGATCACATTATTTTCAATATTAGTGCAGGCCTATGATTGATGATCAGCTAAAAGCAATGTCTCAAACAGCCCAATACTGTTACAAGTTTTCCAGGCTTATAGTAGATGACAGACAAACACAGCAATGAGGATACAATAAAGAGTAAGCACCAAAAACAAAAGCTGCATTTTTATTTCTCTCTGCTGTTCTTTTCTCTCTCCATTGTATGCATGTATCTTCCTCTGTCTTCAAATGTACAAGATCAGACTCCAACAGCGAGAGCAACAATAGTTCTCAACTAACTTTATTTTCTAAAAAGGTTAGTAATTACCGTCTTCAATTACCTTCTAAAAGACTTTCAGGATTAGTTGTGGGGGAAGGCAAGAGTTCTTTATCAAATTTTTCTACACCTCAGAAAAAAGGAAATAAGGGATACTGTTAAAGTGAAAGCATATTTAAGACTTTATATATAGTTGTTTCTTACTCTTTTCTGTATCTAATGAAAAGCTTAAAAGATTTTTTTAACTTTGAAATAAGTAGACCAAGATCTGTTTACTCAAAACACTAACCCAGAGGTTCCCAACCTTTTTAGAGTAAAGGCACACCTTAACAGACTTAAGACACCCCCTTGAAAAATTTCAGCTCTTAGTTTTCACTCATTTTTTTCTCTACAGAAAGATAATAAAGCAATTCTTCTGTTACAAAGAACTTGGAACACCACAACAGATCAGAATGTTTTTAACACTGTGGATTCCAATTTGAAATATCTGGGTTATGTTGTGAGTCATGTTTGCACACCTAAATGTGCTAAAATTACATGGTACCATGTGACAACCTTGAAAGGATCTCAAGGCACCCTAGGGTGCCACAGCACCCTGGCTGAATATCACTACACTAACCCACTGTTGAAATTTGAACAGTGACCAGATCATGTTAATATCTTTGAATCTAGGCCCATTTATCCTATTAAAATTCAAAGACCAGCTCCTCCTGGGAGAGAGCTCAAAGGCTAGGGACAGAAGTTACATATAAGCAGTGTAAGGGATCGGAAACCGGTTCAAATTTGTAACAGAAATTCAGTGCATATAAACGCCTTTCAAAATGGCTGAAACCGGTTTAAGATAAATGAGAGTGGATGTAGTATCAGACTTAACTGATTTAGGTTAAATCAGTTTATTGAACTTGTCCCAGATCCCTTCCAGATGCAAGTTAACTCACAGTACCCCAGCATCCCAGAATGCTTTGCACCCCTCCCCCCTGCAAGCCTCCCCTTGCAGGGTGGGTGTGCTAGCCTTGGTCTAAGCTGTCTGCTCTGGCTGAGCAGGGAGGTATGCTCTAATGCCCCCCAGGTTCTGGCCTAAGCCACTACAGGCATGTGGCTGCATTTTTGGAATCAAAAGTAAGTGTCTGTTCACTTGCTTATTGATTCAATCTACACAGTTTAGACTCATCTGCAAGGATTGAATAATTCAGCCCTGTGCTTTTTGACCATCTGTAGTTAGCGTAAGAGCATATTTGGAGGAGTGAGAGCGCTCACAAGTAAAGAAATGTAGCCAGGTGCCCAGGACACAAAGACAGTGCAACTTCTGCTTTCTTTTGCATGTCTCCCTCCCATCAAGCTGGTGCCTGGAGTAGTTGCTCCATTCATCCCAACCTAACTATACCATTGCTCTTAATCTTTGCTAATGATGCTGTTCCTTTTTGCATAAGCAAACGTTTACTGGAGCAGAA